ATTTATTTTATTTGATAGTGTATTTCTGCAGGTGCATTAGCTCAGGAGCCCAACTGATAATATTCCTATATTTCATAACTTGATCAATTTAGTGTGTCTTAGAGAGAGACTAGTATCGTCAGGGCAAAAGGGATCGCTTTAGGCCTAATCAACAGTTGAAGGCAGAAGTCCTTGGTATGGAAGACACCGGGAATAGTTTAGCATACCCTCATACAAAAAAGTTCCCTCAGTTTCTTTATGACTTGAAAAGAGAATTCGGTTTGGCAGGACCAAGGAAAATAACATCATCAGATGTTAAGACCATTTTAGAAAGAATTACTTATGTTAGTAGGGGGTTACCCACTACTTAGGTTAATCCCCTACTTATATTAATAGGGGGTAACCCCTACTAACATAAGTAGGGCGTTAAGGTCAGTTTTATTATGAACTATGATTATGATGAATACATCAAATTTATCTTTATATTTATTTATTTGATAGTGTATTTCTGCAGGTGCATTAGCTCAGGAGCCCAACTAATAATATTCATATATTTCATAATTTGATCAATTTAGTGTGTCTTAGAGAGAGACCAGTACCGCCAGGGCAAAAGGAATCGCTTTCGGCCTAATCAACAGTTGAAGGCATGAAGCTCACCTTTTAAAGGCAAACATCACCAAAGGTATATATATATATATATATATATATATATATATATATATATATATATATATATATATATATATATATATATATATATATATATATATATATATATATATATATATATATAATATATATATATATATATATATATATATAATATATATATATATATATATATATATATATATATATATATATATATATATATATATATATATATATATATATATATATATATATATATATATATATATATATATATAATATATATATATATATATATATATATATATATGGCAAATTTCATATTGATTTTTTAAATTTTAATTATATATCATTTATATTCTAATTTGGTTTCTTTTTAGATATGAATATTGTAACTTAATAATTATTAAAAGAAAATGGGTAACAACACTAACCATAAATAATGTATAACTCATACAAATAGAAATAAAAAATTCAAGTGTTACATGATTTTTTTAATAAATTTAATTTTAAAATTTGTAAATTAATAAAATAATAACTCATATAAATAATTATCTTTTAGTTTTAAAAACAAGTATTATGTGATTAATTTTATTTATAATTAATTATCGTATTATATTATTAATAATATGTATTAAATAGAATGATATAAATTAGCAACAATTTAATTATTTCTAAATTTTGTAAATAAAAAAACAATATATATATTTTCAATAAAAAAGAGAAATAAAATATTGAGTAGAAAATATAAGTAAAAAATAATAAATTGATAAAACAAAAAAAAATCAATAAAAATATTTTGTAACTTTTTAACAGATTTAATTAATTTAATAATAAATACAAAATATATAGTTAACTTATATTTTTTTGAAGAGTTCTTTCTTTTTCTTAGGGTATAAATACGAGAGTTAATGAAAGTTGAATTTTTTTAATGAGGTGTATTGCAAGTTAATAATTGAAAAATGATTTATATTTATTTTACTGAAGATTTATAAAAAAAATACGTGAATGGAATTGTGGGAATGAATCATATTCTCATAAATGGTTGTGTTAGGTAAGTAACTTAATTTCTCAAACATATTTTTAAATTATATTTAATTTAAAATTTATAAGTAAAAAATAAATGAAGTATGTGCATATAATGACTATTAGATATCCACTCTTAATGATGTTCATCGCTAGCAAACATAACCTTAATTTCTCAAACATATTTTTAAATTATATTTAATTTAAAATTTATAAGTAAAAAATAAATGAGGTAAAATAATGTGAGAGATGGAAGTTATGTCGTGAAGAGTTTGTAACCATTTCTATTATCTTGTAACATCTTGAAGAAAGTTAATAACTTTCAAAGCACAAATACTTTCTCATATATCACTCATCATCTCGTTTCAATTGTAATAGTAAGTTAGAAGAGTTTGTTCAAAGATGTGGTTATATAGTTCTAGCATACCAAACAATTAATGGGGGTATGCAAGACACTCCAAAGTTCAGGTCTAGTGTGACTGTAGGTGATATAACTATCACACTTTGGAGTGTCTTGCATACCCCCATTAATTGTTTGGTATGCTAGAACTATATAACCACATCTTTGAACAAACTCTTCTAATTTACTATTACAATTCATTTATGCAAAAATTGAAAAGAGGTGATGAGTGATATATGAGAAAGTATTTGTGCTTTAGAAGTTATTAGCTTTCTTCAAGATGTTACAAAATAATAGAAATGGTTACAAACTCTTCACGACATAATTTCCATCTCTCACATTATTTTACCTCATTTATTTTTTACTTATAAATTTTAAATTAAATATAATTTAAAAATATGTTTGAGAAATCAAGGTTATGTTTACTAGCGATTAACATCATTAAGAGTGGACATCTAATACTCATTATATGCACATACTTCATTTATTTTTTACTTTTAAATTTTAAATTAAATATAATTTAAAAATATGTTTGAGAAATTAAGTTACTTACCTAACACAACAATTTATGGGAATATGATTCATTCCCACAATTTCATTCACGTATTTTTTATTTATAAATCTTCAGTAAAATAAATATAAATCCTTTTTCAATTATTAACTTGCAATACACCTCATTAAAAAATTCAACTTCCATTAACTCTCGTATTTATACCCTAAGAAAAAGAAAGAACTCTTCAAAAAATTATAAGTTAACTATATATTTTGTATTTATTATTAAATTAATTAAATCCGTTAAAAAGTTACAAAATATTTTTATTGATTTTTTTTTTGTTTTATCAATTTATTATTTTTTTACTTATATTTTCTACTCAATATTTTATTTCTCTTTTTTATTGAAAATATATATATTGTTTTTTTATTTACAAAATTTAGAAATAATTAAATTGTTGCTAATTTATATCATTCTATTTAATACATATTATTAATAATATAATACGATAATTAATTATAAATAAAATTAATCACATAATACTTGTTTTTAAAACTAAAAGATAATTATTTATATGAGTTATTATTTTATTAATTTACAGATTTTAAAATTAAATTTATTAAAAAAATCATGTAACACTTGAATTTTTTATTTCTATTTGTATGAGTTATACATTATTTATTGTTAGTGTTGTTACACATTTTCTTTTAATAATTATTAAGTTACAATATTCATATCTAAAAAGAAACCAAATTAAAATATAAATGATATATAATTAAAATTTAAAAAAAAAATTAAAATTTAAAATATCAATATGAAATTTGAATTTTTTTTATTTCTATTTGTATGAGTGATACATTATTTATGGTTAGTGTTGTTTCCTTTTAATAATTATTAAGTTACAATATTCATGAATCATATATAAAAAGAAACCAAATTAGAATATAAATGATATATAATTAAAATTTAAAAAATCAATATGAAATTTGCCATAAATTTGCCATATTGATTTTTTAAATTTTAATTATATATCATTTATATTCTAATTTGGTTTCTTTTTATATATGATTCATGAATATTGTAACTTAATAATTATTAAAAGGAAATGTGTAACAACACTAACCATAAATAATGTATCACTCATACAAATAGAAATAAAAAAATTTAAATTTCATATTGATATTTTAATTTTTAATTTTTTTTTAAATTTTAATTATATATCATTTATATTCTAATTTGGTTTCTTTTTAGATATGAATACTGTAACTTAATAATTATTAAAAGAAAATGTGTAACAACACTAACCATAAATAATGTATAACTCATACAAATAGAAATAAAAAATTCAAGTGTTACATGATTTTTTTAATAAATTTAATTTTAAAATCTGTAAATTAATAAAATAATAACTAATATAAATAATTATCTTTTAGTTTTAAAAACAAGTATTATGTGATTAATTTTATTTATAATTAAGTATCGTATTATATTATTAATAATATGTATTAAATAGAATGATATAAATTAGAAACAATTTAATTATTTTTAAATTTTGTAAAAAAAATAACAATATATATATTTTCAATAAAAAAGAGAAATAAAATATTGAGTAGAAAATATAAGTAAAAATAATAATAAATTGATACAATAAAATAAAAATCAATAAAAATATTTTGTAACTTTTTAACATATTTAATTAATTTAAAAATAAATAAAATATATATAGTTAACTTATATTTTTTTGAAGGGTTCTTTCTTTTTCTTAGGGTATAAATACGAGAGTTAATGGAAGTTGGATTTTTTTAATGAGGTGTATTGCAAGTTAATAATTGAAAAAGGATTTATAGAGAAGAATCGATGGCTTCAAACAGTCAAAGCCAAACCCATTGCAAGACAAGAAGGTAGACGAAATCTTATTCTCTTTTCTTTAATTTTCTGTTGAAATCGAGTTAGAAAAACCAATTTAAAAATTCGGTTAAGTTAGCTTCAAAATGTTGTTGTCATTGCCTTCTTTAATTATTAATTGAGTATGAGTTTAGGTATTTGGGTTTATTTTAAATTTTTCAAGATTTTATTATGAAGAATGATTTTACTCGTCTTCAATTTTTTTCTTTTCAGTAGTTCTAATTCCGGCACTGAAGCATCAGAATCTTGCAATATTCAACCTGTGAAACAGCGGAGAAAGGTTGGTTTCAATTTCGGAGAACCTGCTCTCAAAAGAAGAATGTCCTCACCGAAAGCCACGGTATTACTTTCTTTGTATTGAATCAAGTTCGCACTTCAATTTGTAATGTGAAATTCTTTCTCCCTTTCTTACAAAGTTCTCAATTGGAAGATTTGGGAAGTTATGTCAGCAGCACACCACCAAAAAATATCAGCAACACACCACCAAAAAATTTCAGCAGCAAACCACCAAGACCGCCACAAAATGTCAGCAGTACACCGCCACAAAATGTCAGCAGCACACTGTCACAAAGTCTTTTAAATTGTACAACGGTATGGTCTCTTTTGGGTTACAGTAATATATATGTAGTAGAATATATGAATGACAATTACCTTTAAATTTTTTTATCGAATCAGATATCCAAATTAAGTTTATTGAAACATGTGATAGAGGAGCATGGTATCCCAATTCTAAAGGACCACTTGATAATATGGCAAACGGTGACACATTAGTACAATGAAGAAGCAAACAAACAAAACATGGAAACTCGGACACTTGCAGAGGTGTTTACCATGGCGAGGTCTATTCAATGATGCATATGCTCAGACGATAACAAGGTAAATGGTTGTTGTTGTAGGTAGGGCATGCACTATCTATTTACTGCATTATATGTGAATAATGTGAGGTTTCTATCAATTACATAGTGTTGTCAAACTGCAGCCATATCGAAGGCTATTAATTCAGTTACATTGTTTCCCCCGATTCGGTTATTACTATTGAGCACATTATTATAATCTCCTATCACAATCCAAGGGTGATTGGAATTTATATCCAATGCAACAATCTCCTTCCAAAGAATATGTCTCCGTTTGAGTTGGTTGTGGGTGTACACAACAGTAGCATTATAGAGCATTGAATTATCCAAGCCATATATTACAATATGTATAAATTGTTCAACAGTTTTCATCAATTCCACTTTTAGCTCAAGCCATAGAATCCAAATCCTCCCGTTAGCATGGTGATCGTAATTGTCGATAATTTTCCAGTTGGTACCAAAAACCTTACAAATTATGTTTGCATTAGTTTTCTTCACACGCGTTGCTAATAAAGCCACAATAGGCACGTGGAATATTGAGAGATAGGAGCTAATCTCCTGTTGCCTAGTATCCTTGTTCATGCCCCTTAAATTCCATGTGGCAATCATGGAACATGACCACTATCCCCTGTCAGGCCTTCTCCAATCCTAAGGGGGTGTAGCTATTTTAAAATTTGTGTCGGACTTGACCTGTTATGGATATTTTTATGGTGGATTTTTCGGTTCGCCGCTATTTTCTGCAATCTGCTAAAGACAACACTGACATACATATGCTTTTGCATTACATTAGTTACTGTATTATACATGTGAATTTGATTTACCTTTCTCTCATTTATGTATATATATTTATCAATTTTATTGCATTATATATGATAAATATGTTAGTTGTATTTCATGTTCTTTGATTTCTTTATTAGTAATGAAGTTCTGTATATTCTTCTAACATAATATGGCAAAACTATCATTCATTGAAACTAAAGTTTACTTGAAAATACCAATACCATATAGTTTAGTTAATTAGTTTGATTTGGTTCAGTTTGGTAAATTTTGATTTAATTCACTGCGGTTCGGTTCAGTTATTAAACCGTTTAGTAAATAGTGGTTTAGTTCAGTAAGTAGAGGTAATGGTTCGATTATTTCACAATGGTTCGGTTTGGTTTTATGGTTCAGTTTTCAATTTTATGTTTGCAAATCCTCAAAACTATACTGATGTTGATGTTGATGCAGGACAATTGCTCATGCTTTTTCTTTAAAGTTCCTAATTTTGATGATATGATTGTTCCATCCAATTCTGGTTCCCTTGGTAAAAGAAGCTATGATGCTATTTCTTCTCCTGATGATTCTGATTCCCTTCGTGATCAAGTTGCAGAGTTAATAAATTCATTGCTTTCAAGTAAGCATATATCTGAAGATATGAGCTATACTGTTGGTCAGTTTTATGACAATATGATAAAAAAGGGGCGAAACATGTTTGTTAAAATGCTTTTGAAAGAGCATGATGTTACTGCAAAATTAGCTCACATGGAAAGGGACATGAGAAGATATTCGGACTGCATGTAAAAGTCATTTATCTATAATACTTGAAAGTTATGTAATATATATTTTGCTATATGATTTTATGGATATGTATAATTTATCTGCTCATCACTTGCATAAACCATTGAGTTATGAAACCTATTTAATATTTCAATTATTCCATTTTTTTGTGTCTAATTCTTAAATTGCATCTTATTTATTATTTAAAAAAGAAACTCAATATATATACTTCCATATACTTCCTTATATAGTTCAAATAAATTACTTAATGAAATTTCATCTCCAGTCCACTCTACCATAGTTAAATATATATATTTGAGCAGGTATACGCTCATGTATGCATTTAGAACATTATGAGTTTTTATGAGATAAAATAATAATGAGGTGATATATTTTTATTTTATATTTAGAGGACACCTAAAGGTTTTGATAAATAAAATTGGCGCCGCTTGTACTCGCTTAATTTAACCCAAACTTTTTATACGGAAAAAAAACCCGTAATCTATAAAAAATTCGACAGAATGTATCGTTTGTGGTTGTTGAACTACTAGCACTTAATAGTAGTAATAAAAGGGGTGAAAGAGGGATTAACTGGCTCAATTAGGTTAGAGAAGAGAAGTTGAATTGTAAGAGCTCTTTGCAGAAGTTTTCAGCTAATTGTATCTAAAATTTATCACTATAATTAAATATTTGAAATAATAAAATTAATTGATTTAATTTTCAAATAAAATGTTTCTAATTAAATTGTTAACAAAATCCAATAGAAAGAGAAAAGTGTCACTAACAAGTTATTAACAAAACCCTCATATATTATATTCTAAAAGTTGGGTCACCAACATCCAAAATGTAGAAATGTAAAGTGATTAACATAAAACTTCAATATAAATAAAAACACACTCTAATAATAATTAAACTATTCGGACCAATGCTTTCATTCCCTATACCATGTCTTCATCACCGACGAGGATACAACGGCAGTGGCTGCTCTATATACATGAGAAAGCCAACCCAAAACTCCGTAAATGCATACATCATACATGAGTAAGCCTTGAAAACAATGAAACAATTAAACTGTTAGAAAATATATATATATACATTTTGAGTCTCTAGTCACCATTAAACTGTTAACTTTTAAGCTCGTTCGTCCGTGCCAGATACTCCGACCAGGAAGAGGGGCAGGGATCCCAAACCCAACATGCTGGACCTGACCGATGATGCTGGGGAGGGTTGTGGATTCCTGGGCGACATATATGACTTAAGAATGACACCCACAAGCTAAATAATGGGTGTTGAAGCGAACCAGAAACATGACACCTCAAACTTATATAATTACTGGGTGTTTCAATTTAAAATCACCAACATTTTTGTCAGGAAAACTAGGAAATGCGAACTAATATAATTTCATGAAAGGCCTAATAATGCAATATGATTTCCTAATAATGTGATATCTATTAGAAATCTATTATCCCACGTTCTCTATGATAGACTCCATTCCGCATTGTTGCTGAGTCGTCGGACTTATCCACAAAGAGATTCGTGGAATTTCTATGGATTGCGTTGGGGGAAATCTACCAAAGCTAGGCAGATAGATAGACTCCTTTCCCGCTGGCTGCTAAGGGAGAGTAGGAAAATCAAATGATTTTTTTTAATCAACGCCTCCTTTTATTTTGGGTATGCAGGTACTACGAGTCCTCTCACTACCAACCAACATACATCATTTGGCTGGTCTTGCCGGTATCAACAAACAAGAATAGATCCAGGCCAGATCTTGGCACATTTCAAACTAGTAATATTGAATAATAAAAATAAAATAATAATATAATTTTAAAAACAAAAAAGTATTTAGTAATAAAAAAGATATTTTTAAACCTATAGAATAAATTTGTCTTTTAAAGAACCCATATGTTCTATAATAGATCCAATGTGTTCTATGGTTTTTTATGTATCGATACATTAACGACCTGTGTCGATGCAAAGCTTGTTTTCCTGAGATACCAACATGACATGTATCGATGCAAAACGCGTATGAGTCGACTCATACTGAAGCACAATTGTTTTTATGAGTTCAGGTCAATCCAAGATATTGATATGGCATACACAACAACATTGTTGATCAGAAAGCTGTCATTCACAAAGAGTGACAGGTATGGATAATCACAGAATCTCACTCACAAGTATGGGTAAAAGCAGTAAACAAGAATACGCGCGTAACTAAGAAAGTGTTAAAGATTACATAAGCAGTACCAAAAAGCATACAATGTTTGAATAGAATTACAAAGAAACTAACAACATGATTATGAAATGAAATGTAATGATATGACATGATAATGGATCAATCGGGGTTATGGCCACCCCACGATTCTTCATAATCTCTATCAGGATTTCTGAAGCTTGGTGGAGGCGGCGGAGGAGGATTCTCATCAGGATTTTGTCCCATGAAGCAGTATTTTCGAAACCTATTCTGGACTTCAACACTCCTGAAATTATTCATTATACCGGACTGGTCACGAAAATCATCCATAAAACCTGCCATCTCATTGTAAAACACTTGATGCCAATTCACCAAATCTAAGTTCCACTTGTACTAATTGTGATACATCATAGTATGCTCATCGTGCCAATCACGATATTCCTTGTGCCACTCATTCTGCTGAATATGCCAAGTTCGCGCCTCTTCATGGCGTGCTTGATTAGCAAGTTCCATTTGTTGAAACATCTTAGTCAGATACTCAGGAGCAGTTGAAGTCGAACCTGCACCAGAAAATGGAGGGACAAATGGGCCAGGTTGATAGTTGGTTGGAGACCATCTTTGTGGCTCCCAATTTCCCCAACCGGTATTTGCATCACCCAGATTTGCTTCAGGTTGAATTTCCTCATTAATATCATGCATTTCTGCATCCACGGGTTCCTATTCCATATAGATTTGTTCAAATGGCACATCAAAGTTGTATACCTTTGTTTTTGACCCTTTCTCCGTGAAATAGAAACACTGACGCTGCTTGTCCCACCTATATCCCATATGAGTCAGAGTTGCCCGGTTAAATTCTTGGGCAGTAGTGGGAGATATAAGAGGTACAAGAGGTATGTCAACATTCCAAAATTTGATAATTCTCTTTATCTGTGTTGAGTATCCAAGAGCGGTATTTCTCTGATTGTTACGCATAAGGAACATACGTTTCACAAAGTAATTAGGCCAGTTTAAGGGAACCTTATTCTAAAGAATATGCAGAAGATGAATATCAGACGTATCTAACCTAGAATGACCACCCGACCTTGGACGCAAGATATGATAAACTATCCAGTGAAGCATTCTAGGAATGCTTTTAATCATTCCAGATGTAATTTGTTCATCCGCACCAAAAGGCCTTTCCAACTTCATAATGGATGCAAGATACTCCTTATCCTTATAGTCAACATCGAAATTCAGATCATGCCAGCTTTTAAACTCAGTCGAACCAAAAGGAATACAAAACACGGCTTCCCAATCAGCAGCCTCAAACACGTGTGTCTTGGTTCCAATACGACACTTAAATGACCATTCTTTACATGATTCCAAACCAGCATAAAACGCACGAATAAAATCCTCACGATAGTCGTCATTAATCATTAAGAATGTACCTAATTTCTGTGCATCCATCAGATCACACACATCTATGATATGCATAGAAAGAACTTCTTTCTTGTTAAAAACATGAGGCTTCATAACCAACCTTGACTTGAATGACTTTTCAAATTCTTCTACTACAACCGGATGCATGATGGTTAGGGCATTTGGAAGTATCTCTGGAGGTGGTGGAGATTCTTCACGACGAGAGGTGCCTACAGCAGCCTTTCCCCTTCCTCTTCCTTTTGTTTTAGGAAGCATTATTTTAGGAAGAATTGTTTTATGAGGCATAGTGTGGTAGATAGAGAAGAGTGTTATGAGGGATTTGAGATGTATGTTGTGTGAAGAGTGATGCGTGAGAGATGAATATAAAATTAGGTTTGGTCGTAATTTAGGTTATGAGATGTATGAGGATGTTTTGAGAATGAATTAAGTTGCATAATGGGTTGATGGGTCGACACAAAAACAAAAAAAATCAGTTTGGGTCGATGTGAATGGTCATGGAGCGATCCAAGAAAGACATTTCAAAAATCCACATGTGTACATACTGAATTAATTTTGAAAAATAAGAAATGACAGCGTTATGGATCGACGCATGCTTTTAATGCATCGACCAAATTTCTTGGTTTTTTCCTATATTTTAGTTCATCTAAAGGACAGTAAAACCTCAAAAGAAGAAGAAAAGGGAGAGTAGAATAGGAATAGGAATTTACCTGGAGGTTTGCGCATAGCCTTCTGTTTACGACCATAAAAGAAGCAGATATTATGATCAATGAATTAGTGATAGCTAATCAGTCAATGAAGATTGATATAGAAAAACTGAAAGAAAGAGAAGTCACATTGCTCAGTGAGAAGGATGTATTATTTAACAAGGTTGGGAGCTTACAGACCGTTGTTGATTTGAAGAATCAGGAGATAGAAGACCTTGTTGAATCAAATCTTATAGAAACAAAGGACTTAGTAATGGAAGTGGATGGTGTCATTAACGAGGTCCAGTTGGCGATGAAGGAAAATTTTACCTCTTTAGTTTGTGATATAGAATCCTTGAAGTCTCAATTTATATATTCCACTAAGTCAATACAACAATGGCTTGAGAAGATCTGGTCTGAGATAGTTAATAAATATTGTGCTATGTTGGTATTACATCTCTGTCACATGAGTGTTCTTCTGGAAATAGTAACAGGAATGCATGCAGAAAATGGCTTGCTTTCGCATGGCTTGTGTGAATCAAACTCTGTCATAAGTGATCTGAAGGAACACAATTTTAGAACAAGGGAAGAGCTAGAAATGTGCATAATCTTGAAAGGGAAACTGCTTGCTAATATCCAGAATAGTTTTGATTGCATCACTAGGAAAGAAGTGGAAGCTGGAGAGATCACTGTCAAGCTGAACACTTTTGCTAAAAACTTATCAGATCTACAGCTTCAAGAGGAAATGATGATACAAAGATCTAATGAAATGGGGTCTCAACTTACTACTTTGATGAGGGAATTGGATCTGAGTAATACCGATTTTGTGGTATCCCATTTAGATCAAGAGAAACTACTAAAGCAGAAAGTAGAAGCCATTGAGTCTCAAGCTGAATTTGTTATGGCAGATTGGTACGCCAAAGACTTTGAGTTACTCATCCATTCTTCTGAATTCAGTAACATGGCATATAAAATATCTGATATGGAGGAGCATTTTGTCAAGTACTCTACACTAGTTGATCAATTGAAGGCAGAAACGATATTTTTCCAAGTAGAAACTGAGTTAGCAGAACAAATTTTGATGGACAAGGAAGTTGAAGTTTCCCTTCTAAAACGAAAAGTTCAGCAGGAAAAAGAAGAAAAACAAAACTTATTGATGGAGTTGAAGCAGGACAAATTAAGGATTACAAAGATGGGTGAAGTAAGCAAAGCACTTGAACAAAATGTTCACCTTCTAAAGGATACTGAGCGTCAAGCTGAGTTTTTAATGGCAGATTGGTACACCAAAGACTTTGAGTTACTCGTCTGTGCTTCCGAATTCCGTAACATGTCCTGTAATATATCTGATATGGAGGAGCATTTTTTCAAGTACTCTACAATAATTGAACAGTTGAAGACAGAAACGATATTTTTCCAGGTCGAAACTGAGTTAGCAGAACAAATTTTGATGGATAAGGAAGTTGAAGTTTTCCTTCTAAAACGAGAAGTTCAGCATGAAAAAGTAGAAAAGGAAAACTTATTGATGGAATTGAAGCAAAACATCTTAAGGATTACCGAGATGGGTGAAGTAAACAATTTAGTGTTCTTCTACAGAACCAAGTTGTCACACTGGTATAACACCCGAGCAAACTGCAAAAAGAAGATGGAAGGACTTGAGCAAGAGAACAAAGAGCTACATGAAGAAGTTGTTACTTTGAGGACGGGAATGGAGCGTCTCACTACTCTGGTTGAGACACTGTTGGCTGCTCAGAATCAGAATCAGAATCAAGCTCAGAATCAAGTCAACCTCCAAGTTCATAATTAGTCGCAAGTACATATTCATGTGATCTCATAGGTTGTTCCTACAATAATTCATGCCAATGTTGATCAACAGCGTATGCCCAATGGTTGTCCCTAGGGCATGCCCGAAGGCTACTTGCCGGTTCATGAAGTGACTCGTCCTGTGACGCCTGTCATGGTTACTGGACCTCCTATTGTGCATACTGTTCCGTTTGCTCCAGAGCATTCTTATGAGGTTGCACCAAGTGATGGTTTGGGTATCTATGATAGGATAGATGGTTTTCAAGATCAGTTCGAAGAATTGCAGAAAGAGATGAAATCCCTTCGAGGGAAAGAGTTGTTCGGAAAGAATGTGCATGATCTCTGTCTTGTTCCCAATGTGAAAGTGCCTGCAAAGTTTAAGTTACCAGAGTTCGAGAAGTATAAAGGGAATTCTTGTCCTCAGGCTCACCTAGTGATGTATGTGTGAAAGATGTCCACTCACACTGATGATCAACGTCTATTGATTCATTATTTTTAAGACAGTTTGGCTGGAGCCGCTTCAAAGTGGTATATGGGTCTTGATAACACTCATATCCGCTTACATGTTGCCTTCTATGATCTTTTGGCAGTGTACATTTTTCTCGTGTTTGGATTCATACATTATTTTAAATTTTTTTTAATTGTAAAAAAATGTAATAACTCGTGGATTCGCCCAAAATTGATCTGGCAACCGAGCATTCGTACGGGTACTGGTGCACTACCCGCATATGCTTCTAAAATGTAATGAGTGAAAAACAGAAAGACAAAATTATTTAACAAAAAAAAATTATTATTATGTAAATAATAAATTTGTTTTGAGATTATTTATAATAATATTTATGCAATCATTTCATTTTTTAAATATCAAGTAATAACATAGTATTTGAAAATATTATTTTAATTATATAAATAAATATTAGTAACATAAATAATTATGTTTTGGCTGTGTTCGAATTTATACATTATTTAAAATATAGTTACTTTTAATTTCTTTAATTGTAAAAAAATATAATAACCCGTGGGGCTCACACATATTTTAGTATGGATAGGGTGGCATAACGCATTGTGGTCCACCAGGCCGACTCGCATATCCATCAAAAAGTGGTAGATTAGATTGGGATTTTGGGTTTGCCGCACCGCCCACCAATACTTGCCAAAGCTCGCCCGCTAATGTCCGCCTAGCCAAAGCTCTTCGCCTTTCAAAACCCGCCTAGCCTATCTGTTCAGTTCATCCCTCTGTTTTGGGAACGCGTTGGAGGAAAAACAAACGTGAGATAGAGAGTCTTTCCAGATCTAATAGACTTCTTATGGTAATACCTCAGATGTTCTCTCACACACTCACTGCGTTTATGGAGCCCTCACCGCCGATCACCACCACTGCTCACCTTTACAATCACTCGCACCGCCGTGTCATGGATGTGTCTCACACAAATGGACGCCTATCATCGGTTTCCCACCCAATTCAACTCCATCTCCTTACGAGGTTAGTTCTTAGGGTTTTCTTTTAATACATTCATTGATTCATGCTTGCTTATGTGTTTTTCAATTAAACTGAGATTGTTTACTTCACTCGTTCATGGTAAAATCATTTTTAGTTGTTGTTGAATTTGACCTAAATTTTACTTTGAATTTTAGGACCCCGTATGTGACTGGATCATCTGTGATTGCAATCAAATACAAAGATAGGATTCTCATGGCTGCTGGTATGGGAGGTTAGAACCAAATGCTGATGCAACTTTAAACCCTACTTTGCATATTTCTCCTTTGAAGCATTGATTAAATCCTACTTTGCATATTTTAGTGTATGTTTGGTTTCATATGTGTAGAATTGATTTTGACATGTTTGATTTTTCTCGAGTAGAATTGATCCTGCTTTCCATAATTGATTCTACTTAAAGTTAGGGTTTGATTTTTAGCTTTTGAATCTAAAGTAATTTATACACTGATATTAACTCTTCAACTCGCCTTCATAAGAATTTCTGCAAACATAGATCACTTTACCTTCAACTCGCTTTTAGTCAGAATCAATTCACTCAGAATCATTTTTTTTACACAGAGCCAAACACATGCTTATTTAAGCTTAGGTCAAATTAATTGGAGTTTGATATCTGGCTGGAACATTATTTAGTTGGACTTCATTTATGTTTTGGTCGAACTTTGGATTATTATAGTTTTTTCCCTAGGAATTAGAGTATTGAGGCCCAAAAATGGTTGTGTTAGTTTGAATTAGTCTTAGCTTATTTGATAGAATTGAATCTTTCAATTGTTTTATTTTCATTTCAATTATTTTGTTGTAAAGCAAATATTTGATCATGAATTATATACCCTTGGTAAATTATGATTCCTTGGAAGTGTTTGTTTTAGTATTAAACTAGTAATAATGTATGAATCATATTTGTGTTAGCAATATGAAGTTCAAACCCCCTTCTTGAAAATAATGGGTTCACTTTGTGTGTCATGTCATTGGTGGATGTACTGATAGGTTCCTATGGGTCTACCCTACGATACAAGAGTGTTGAGCGGTTGAAGCCTGTTGGAAAACATTCCATTATTGGTGCCAGTGGAGAAATAAGTTATTTTCAAGAGATTCAACGTTACCTCAACGAGCTTATGTAAGACTCCTTTGGTTATTTCTCATAAGATAAAGACAAGAGAATTTGATCAGTTAACTTTTGTGCGTATGCATTTGCTTGATTTTTATGTTATTTTCTTCAAACTTCACATAAATGATTTCATCTGTGTATCTCCCTCCTCAATTATTTTAGATTTGATTACTTCATTATTAATTGATTAATTCCTAATTACAATTTAAAACCCCTAATTCATTACTAAAACCCCTAATTAATTGATTCATTACTAAAACATCGTAAAATAATTTTTCTGAAAAACCCCTAATTCCAATCTAATAGTAACATACAAGCCTTGTGATTAATTCTCCAAAACCCCTAATTCCAATCTAATAGTAACATACAAGTAATTTTCACAATTGTACCAGCACTAATATATATACAAAATTAATTGATTAAGTTTTATTCTAAGATGAATTTTCTGTGAATTAACTCTTGATGAATTGTCGGTCTGCAGCTGACTCCGTGTATTGTTGCAGGTGGTTCCACTGGAACAAAGGTAGTAGCTGGTATTGATTGGTGATGGCGGCTGATGCGGCGGATTTACGGAAAACAAAGGGTGTGGGATGGTGACCAGTTAGTGGAAGTTGGTGCGAAAATGAGGAAACAACACAGAGTTGTGTGAAAACGGAGGGGGTATATGAAAGATATGGAAGGTGGTATTTTGTATTGAGGGAGTATTGTTAATAGTTGGGTTTTACTAAGGTGACGATGGTTGAGAAAGATGAATGAGGGAGTAAAATCTGGTTTTGGATGGTGAAGAAGAGGAGTATCAATTTATCATAATTTTTTCCAATTACGATGTTTTAGTTTAGTTTCCCTAATTTTTAGTGGTTTGTTAATTAGTTGGTTATTAGTAATTGAACTGAATTCAGCTTGATGTTGCAGCTTGTTGAATGAAAGTCTTCCCTATTATTGTCTCACAACCTTCCTCTCTCACTCTTGCGATGGGTTTTGATCTTGAAGAGAAAGCCCGATGTTTGTTGAAGACCACTTTGAGTTGGCGGTCGAACTTCTCACTCTAGGTATTATTCTTGATCATGCCAAACATGATCCCTCAAGCCAAGGTAATGGACTACAGAACTCTCCCACACTTCTGCAAAGAACAAATTAATATGTTTTCTTCTTTTCAACTTCATTTATGTCTAGTCAATTAAACTGATTTTTTTTGCCTTAGCTTACTTATTCACATTGAATTTCTTTATTGGCTTTGTGATGGAAAAGAACTGAAAATGTTTTTTTTTTAATGATAAAAATCAATATTAAAATGGGAATATTTATGTGTATTCTTGTTTGCTCATTATTGATATTGAGTTTGGAGTAAGACCCTAGCTTTTGTTACTTTAAATGGAAAAGAACTGAAAATATTTTTTTTTAAATGATAAAAATCAATATTAAAATGGGAATAATTATGTGTATTCTTATTAGCTCATTATTGATATTGAGTTTGGAGTCAGACCTTAGCTTTTGTTACTTTAAATTCATATATACTTTAACAAATTCTTAAAAGTACAATTTTTTAGTCTCCAAATATCAATTTTTTAAATTTTGTCTATATTTATACTTTTAAAGTGTTGATTGACTTGTTGATTTGACTTATACTTTTAAACTGCTACGCCTACACCCTTCCATCTGTTACAGCCCCTTACCCCCTCTATTTTTCTCTGCTAGCTTTTCTCTCTCACGGATTCCCAATTTTTTTTTCACTTTTCATTCTCTCTCACGGTCCTCATCTTATTTCTCTTCTCATTCTCTCTTCTCTCATTATATCTCACCCATTTCTCACTTTTCTCCCTCCCCATGAATATTCTATATATGGTATGTTGTTTCTCTGCTCCATCTTTTTCAACTTCATAACTTTTGTTTAACATTTAGTTAGCTGGATGTTTGAATGAGTTTTAGCATGAAGTTATTTGAGTTTTGCAGTTTTTCTGTTATGTTCATGATACATTTTTTTAGTGCATGTTTATGGTGATGTTAATGGAGTTATTAATATGTTCATGGCGTTTTATCTTCAAGCATTCATGCTTTATGTTGTATAGTCTGCTTTATATTGTGGGTGTTTATCTTCAAAGTAAAGAAATGTTTCACAGTTTTGTGTACTGTTGTTTTTTTTTTGTTAATTATGTCGAAGTTGTTTCAGTGAAGTGTGTTTTACATACTGTTTTGATTATATTGTTTTGACAACCATGTTACATATAGTCTCAATGGATATTAAGATATGATGAAGTATATTTTACATACTATTTCATTATTTTCTTAGGTTGTTGCATTTATGGTCGGAGTGGTCATAGGTGCATTTGTAATTTATTGCCTCATTCCGAAAGATGGTGGGAAGATCCTTCCGACTTCATCAGACACCACTTTAGCTGAATTATTCAAGCAGCATCCTCCACTTTCAGTGGAGATACATATGCCACCATCTCCACTGCAGCTGACATCACCTAACGACTCAGTGGAAGAGTCGTTGCAGCATCCATCACCCGATAATGACTCAGTGGAAGAGTTGTCGCCTGTCATCTCCACCCACGCTGCCAACACCATCCATGCCGGTTACATGGAGCCTACCTCGTGTTGGTGGGCAATATCCTCCTGTTGGTTGGTATACCCGCAATCAGTTGGGAAAAAAAATTGAATGTTGACTTTTCTAAGTTTTTTTAGATTTTTTTTTTGCATGTATTTGCTTAATATTTTGTTGGTGTTCAATTTTGATGCATGGACTTAGAACTTTGACATTAAATTGAACATCATTTTTTTGTATGTTATGTTTATTTTGAATGGTGGTGCTTGATGTTGAATAGTAACCTATGTAATACCCATAACAAACATAAATATTGGTATAAATTTTAAGTGAAATTGGATTATGCATGATTTGGTTATGTTTGAAGTAGAATTTGATTTACAGTAGAATCTGCAGAATGAGAATGCTTACTAGTGGCCTTGCATTAAAGGATTGACACATAAATAAATCAATCACTACGTTTTTAGTTTTACTATAATATTTCTGTTGCTTACTGTAATTAATCAAACCATAAAAATTAGAACATAAAAGTCATAAACACAATTTTCTTTATATTAAGTAGATTAAAGTTTTGTACTCTACTTTTTAATAGTCACTTGATTTTGTTGAAGCCAACATGTATGTATGCCATCAATATCTCCATCTCACATATATCTCATAAAAGAGTTTTGTCTATTTTTTTTAAAATTATTTTTTCTCTTTATTTTTTTTAAATTATTTTTTCTCTTTATTTTTTTCTTCTAGTTTTCTTTCAAAAACAAACTATTAGTTAGATTAGTAATTAATTAGGTTATATTTTAATAAATAAAAAAAAAGAAAAAAAACTTATGATTAGAAAATATGTCTCATTTTTTTGGTAGTGTATCTTACATTTTTTTTTCTCACTTTGTTTCTTTTTATTACTTATTTATTATAATTGTTTAATTGAGATAATGATTAAGATTTTGAGAAAGATGGATGATTAAGATTTTGAGAAAGATGGTACCCTCACTCTCCCCATTTTTAGGATAATTTTTATTTTATTTTAAATATTTTGAAATTTTAAATATTATAAATCTATAAATTTTATATAATTTATTTTAACATTATATTTTATCAAGTGTAATATGTTAAAAAAATTAAAAAATATAGTGTTTGGACTGGATTATCGGTTCCTCTTCACTCCTACATATGATAAACTATTTGTTACTATTATAAGGTGCATCAAACACACCTAAAAACACCTACACCACACTATCATGTTTGTCTATAAAAATGGGTTATCTCTTCAAATTGTCTTCTCAACTTTTAAAGAGATAAATATGTAATTTTGTATTGTTTCACGTTGCTCTTTATTTATTTATTTTCTAAGGATCTTCAAAACATGATAACAATATAATTGTAATTAGGTATACAATTATTATCATTTAAATTTCATTTCTTAATCATTTAAATTTTCTATAATTTACTACTTTTTATATTAAAATTAGTAACAAACCCGTGCGTACGCACGTGTTCTGGTCTGATACGCGCATTTGTTTATATAATATATTTATTTTAAATAAAAAGTTAAAAAAGAAAAAATGTTTTGATCAATAATGAATTTTTTTCATATACTATTTTTAGATCATAAATATTTAAATCATAAATACAATTTTTCATAAGGACAAGGCCGCCATTCATCTGAATTGATTTTGTTGCACACAACTATAAGAATTAACCAATGATGAGCTTATAATCACTTATCAGACATTTCAAGCAACAAATCTTTAACTTGCCAAAGAAATATTGTCAACCCATAGCAAGAGAGTCCTTGTTGGGCTATCGAAAAGATCAAATCGGTATTAACAAACTTGTTGGGGAAGTGGGCCACTTGCATTAATAGATCTTTACCTGCTGTCAGGGGAAGATGGTAGTGATATTGTTGGAGAATGCACATGGATTTCCCTGGAGAATCACCATGTTCCTTCCTTCTGAAGATGTAAAGCTTTCTTGTGCAAAAATAAATGCCCTATCTATCTAGCATTCATAATCTGAAGAGACCTAAAATACTGCTTGGGGGCCAAAATTCAAGTCGCGATCACCGGGGAAAGAGTTTTGAATAGGCGAAAAAGTTGGCGAAGAGAGTTAGGACTCTGTTCTTCCACAAGAAATAACTCAGTGGAGAAAGCGAAATGATGAACACTTTCTGTTTAAAGCTGACATTCGAGACTCCCAATGCTATCATATGTATATGAGCAATGATTTAAAGTTATGAACAATGTATGAATGAATGAATGTGAGATGCACATGGACATCCTATTAAGGGCCAACAAGGAAGATCCAACAGTGCCCGGCCAACACCCGGCCAACATAAAATCTTCACGAACTGTGGATTGAAATACAACCTCCTATCAAATTAGATTGCTTGAATAGCAGGCGTATTGCAAAAACTTCTAGGCTTATTTAAGCAAAAGTATCTCATGGAGATGTCATCACGTCCTATCAGGGTGTTATTGGAGCAAACTCTTATGGGAAGAAATAAGATATTTTGGGGAAACAATTTACTTTGCACTTGGATCTCATGCTCGGGAGAAGGAATGCTACAAGAGTCCCATCGGGGTCAAATTTAACATCATCAATCTTGTTTGATATTGGGATAATGCCATTTTGTCCTCTTGCATCACATCCGAAGTAAACACACTCTAAAATTGTAAAAAATTCGCAAGTATGTTCTAACAAATCTGTTTGTTTTGAAATATATTTTCAGTAATAAAATAATATTTTTTATAAACTGAATAAAATAAGATTGCAAAGGAATTGGATAAAGGCTCAAATTTTATTGATAGAATGGTAGCCTGCCAATAACATGACTCCATAGATGATTATAAAGTTTGAAAAATGGTAAATACATGGAAAAGGTACGTCGAAAGCCAATGAGCCATATTCTTCCTAACAACTTTGAACTCCTGTATTGTAGTCTTCAGTTGAGGTAATAACATGATCCATGCAGATTGTTGCTTCTACGATCAAGTCTTGTCTGATGTAGTTACTTTCCATACAAGTCCCTAACTTTTTCCTAGACTGCCCTTGCGGGTTTTCAGTCTACCGGGAGGTTTATTCTGTTTATGTCTCTAACTTTTGCCTAGACCGTCCTTTCGAGTTTTCAGCCTACCGAGATGCTCCTTTTTGCCTAAGTCGCCCTTTCGGGTTTTCAACTTAGCGAGCTGTTCTTTTATTTATTTAGGCGAAGTATTTCTTGACTACATCAGCGTTCAGAGGGCGTGCAAACTCCTCACCATCCATAGTTTCAAAAATCAATGCATCACCAGAGAAGGCTTTTTTGATAACATATGTGCCTTCATAATTGAGAATCCACTTGCCTCTAAAATATATAACCATAAACTTTTCTATCTTAAATAAATAGAACAATTTACATCTTGCATGTCGAAACTATACCATATATCATCAAGAAATGTAAGATAGAAATATCAACATCAAAACACTTATTGCTTTTTTGTTTTAATAATTTTTTATTTTGAGAAAATTTATTTTTTCATATAAAAAAATAGTTTTTTTTACTTTATTATTTAGAAAACTCAAATCCCTAAAATATTAAAAATATGTCATGGTTAAATGAGAATCCCATATACTTTGCAGGTGTAGGAGTAGAATATGTAGAGTAAGAATAATAGTTTTGTAATTTCTAATAAAACGGGCTTTAACAAAACTAGCTTTGGGCTTCGAATATTTGACCCGTCAAAAACAAAATCGCAACAGAATTAGGGTTTTACGAATTTATCAGTATAAAGAGTAGCGAGCGTAGTAGATCCAAATCGGTGTTCTTGCTCGTAGATCTCCGTTCTTGCTCGTAGATCTCCGTTCTCTGCTCTGAGGTATGGTTCTTCTTCTCTACTTGCTTGTGTACTTTCAGTTCATACCATTTGCTTCGAATTCTTGCATCTATCTATGCAAATTATTCCATTAATTTCTTGATTATCGTGTTTCGGTAGTATTAACTGATTTTGTATAAGCCTCGTTATGTTTGCTTTTATTCCAGTTTAATTCACCGATTGAATATGTTTGAAAAGCTTGGTTTTAGTGTCAGTATTGTTCAAACAGTTCTAGGGTTTCGTCAGTTCACTCATGTTTTCAATTTTTTATAACTACGAGAAACAAGTCTCTGAGGATGATCAAAACAAAATAACTTTCGTTCTTCTGAGTTATCCATGCGGAACATTTTTGGAGACCTGAACTGAAGAGACTTTTCTTTTTGCTTTCGAATTTCAGCCGTTTTATTGTTTCATTAGATCTTGTGAAGTTTGTACGTTTTTGAAATCCCCATTGAAAGAGCCTCTAAGGATGATCAAAATCATAAAACTTTCGTTCTTCTGAGTTATTCGTGCGGAAATTATATGGAGACCTGAACTGAAGAGGCCTTTCAATGTTTAACAATTTATATTAATTTTAGAATTCAGCTGCCTTGTCTTTATGCTTCTTTTTTTCTGCTATCCTTATTTGTATTTTTCATTATAATAAGTCCTCTGATGATGATCAAAATCATAACTTTCGTTCTTCCGAGTTATCCATGCGGAAATTATATGGAGACCTGAACTGAAGAGGCTTTTTAATGTTTATATTTCTCTTATCTCTTGTATTGGTGTTGATACTTAATTTATTTGTTTCAATTTATTTAATTTTTTGAATTTGCTTGCTTTGTTTTGTTGCCTTAGTGTTTATGTTTCTCATGTCTTGTATGATTGTGTATAATTATTTTTGTTTGTTACAATTTGTTTTAAATTTTTTGAATTAAGTTGCTTTGTTTTTTTTTGCTAAATGCTCTTTTTGATTCTTCTATCCTTATTTCTATATCTTATTGCTAAACACTTTAATATAGCCTCTGAGGATGATCAAAAATAACTTTCGTTCTACTGAGTTGCCCATGCGGAAATTACATGGAGACCTGAACTGAAGAGGCTTGGCTTTCAAATCTTGTGTTGTAGTATGCTTTTTATTTGCTATTTGCAGCTGATTTAAAATTTTAGTGTAGTATGATGTTTTCTTGTTCCAATTTATGATGATGATTGATTGTTTGTTCTTGCTCTTGTCAGTTTCAACTTTGCTAGAAGAATCTGACTGATACTATTTTCCAGAATGAGGTATGTAGTCTCTTGTTTATTGTTTTGTTAAATCTAATAAAATTAACCTCTTATTTAGTTTGCATATGTCTAACTAGTTTATTTGTTTTCTTTTTTAACTTCTCAGCCGTCCAATGGAAGAAGAAGTAAGTTATTCATCTTTCATTGATATTTTTGATTAATATTTTATGCAATATTTGAGAAAGATCGAGGATGGTTGTTTAATACCCTTTAACTGGTTAATTGATACAGCCAGTGGGGAAGAATGAGGAAGAAGAATTCAATACTGGACCACTTTCTGTACTCATGATGAGTGTTAAAAATAATACACAGGTATGTTTAATTTCTTGTTCTTTGTATATCTCATTGGTTGTGTTTGAGTTCAGAACGTATTTGATTTGTGGATTTGCTTGAAAACTTATGTAGGTACTGATAAATTGTCGCAACAACAAAAAGCTTCTAGGTCGCGTTAGGGCATTTGATAGGCACTGCAACATGGTTCTTGAAAATGTCAGGGAAATGTGGACTGAGGTTTGTCTTGTTTATTTTAATTTGCTCTTCTACTTCTTTACTTGTTATACTAGCTGAATATCGTGCTTATTTCAGGTTCCTAAGACTGGTAAAGGTAAGAAAAAAGCTCAGCCGGTGAACAAGGATAGATTCATTAGCAAGATGTTCCTTCGTGGAGATTCTGTCATCATTGTTCTTAGGAACCCAAAATAAGCCAGTATTGACATGAGTATCTGTTGTTGTTGGATCTTATTTTGCCCTGGTTATGTCAAACTCTTAGTAAGTAGGCAGTGTACTGAAATGTCTTCAAATTTTATATACGGGTGAATTTGGGTGCTCCAGAACAGGATAAGTGTTTTTGGGATCTTTTAACATGTACAAGTATGGAATGTATTGAATGGTTTTAACTCTGTAAAAAGCTGTGTTAAATTTGTAGTTCACTTCAATTTTTAGGCCTACTAATAGACATTCCTTCAATATAATAATAATGTTTTTTTACCCTGAGTTTTCTATATCGTATCCAGCAGAGGCCAACAGTTATGTATGTTTTCATACACAAGTCACAACACAACAGGGACTCCCATGGTCATTTGAAATGAACTCTAGATAACATAGCGTGACTTCACTCTAGATAAATGTGGATGTTACTTTGGACCAATTAGTCCATCTAAATGCTCGTCTGATGAAAGAAAAGAAAGGTGGTCTGAATATGAAGTTCAATGGAGGTAAGCTAATATAAAAGTGAGATGTTGTGATAAGATAAACTGAGTGTAAAGGGTGAGTGATGATTTCGTTAAATTTAGCGTGGTATTTTTTTTGTGTTGACAATGAAGTTCTGGGGGATTAGCAGGAACCTTTTTAATTCTGGTGGGAGGCATTGAAGTATTTGCAATTAGTTGTGCTGAATTAGTAGGTGTTAGGACAAATGACAAGGTCTATGTTCCTTATAATCATGCTAGGAAAGATAAAGTAAGTTGTTGGGATTGTGAAGTAATATTTGGATTGTCCAACAGAAGTGTGGCATCATAATAATAATTGTGAAAGTCAAAATATTTGGATTGTCCAACAGAAGTGTGGCATCATAATAATAATTGTGAAAGTCAAAATAATTTGAATATTGAGACTGGTATATATTAGGCGTAGCATCAGAAAGTATAGTTTCATAAAACTTACATTTTTAGAGATCAAAATTTCTCTGTATAAAAATGACATCTCACGGTGCCAAATTTGAAGTTCAAGAAGGTGCATTTCTTAGTCATGAGATCAAGTTTACGAAGACATTGTGGGAATATATCAGAGAATCAGAAAGCTTAGTCAAGCAAAGTTGGAGTTTGATGTTTCAAAAGGTGATTTATGATCAAGTTTACGAAGACATTGTGGGAATATATCAGAGAATCAGAAAGCTTAGTCAAGCAAAGTTGGAGTTTGATGTTTCAAAAGGTGATTTATGATATAAAATTAGAGTTGTAAATCTACTTATGGGATAAACGAACATAGGATCAAAAATATTTTAAAAGTTTGGCATGACATAAAATACATTTTGTGACATTTAAAATGTGTAGATATTTCTTTTCAACATTTGAGTTTGTTGAGGTGTGGCTATCCAAGAAGTTTGATGTGTATTATGCAAAAGTTACTATAAAAATCATTGCAAAGGAATTCATTGCCATTGTCTGAACTAATATTTGATAGAATATTGAACCATTACTAGGTATGTGAGAGGAATGGTCAGAGAGGAATGGTCAGTAGTGGTGTTGCTGACTGAATATGGTTGTTTAGGCTTGTACTTAGGTGGAAAACTATGAGTGAAATCACACCTTTTGGGGTGCCAATGGGGACTAACAGCTCTCTATCAGTTAAGTTACTCTCTGTAATTGTTCACCATTTTCAGTACAATTGTATACTTTCAAGGAGTAGTTGTTGTTTTTAGTTATTTCCCAAGGTATTTTAGGAATATATCTCTCTACCTCCTGACAGAAAACAAGTCCGCCAAATCAATGTGTTTTCTGATCAAGGACCTGTGAATGTAAGGCCCTATAGGTACCCTTTCAATAAGAAAAATGAAATTCGGAAATAAGTGAAGGAGTTGATGAAGGCATGAGTGATTAAACCAAGTATGAGTGCTTTCTCAAGCCGACTATAGGGCCCTCAGTAAGGTTATTATTTCAGATAATTATCCAATCCAAAATTTTGATGAGATATATGATGAGTTGTTGTTGGAACATGTCTATATTCCAATACGTTGAATTAAAAAATTTCAGTTCCACGTTGTTAGAATTTTGTGGTTGAAAATTATTTAGTTTCACTATATAAGGAGTTCACATGTTTCATTGCAAATCATACCAAAAAATTATTTTATTAATTTTTCCTTCTTAATTTATAACTTTGCATCTTTCGAATTGTCGAATTGTCAACTTCTTCCCCTTTCTTTCTACTCGTTGAATTTTCCGAGTATTTTCTTGAATTTCTTTAGTGAATCATCTACCATGCAAGTAGTAATCGTACAATATAGAACTTCGGTAGTTTGACTGCTTTGTATAATTTTGAGCAGTGTTGCAAAAAGTCTTAAAGAGAGCGACCTAGTCCACGACTCAACTTAGTAATTTCTTCGAGTGACAAATATTTCAAAATTCGAAAACAACAATTTTAAGACAATTCAAACTGCCATGACTACTGAAAAAATTATCGGTACTTTCAAGATTGTCTCGGACAAACCGTTCAAATTTGAAGGAGTGCATTTCAAATGTTAGCAACAAAAGTGAAGTTTTTCTTAACCATAAAGAAGGTTGTCAATATTTTGACCGATGGTATTCCTACTGTTCTATTTGGATCAAACGAATAGAAAGAAATTTATGAACTCAGATTGAATTTTTAATTTCAATGAATTTGAATTTACAACATAGATTAAAGATGACGATTTACAACTAAGAGAAGAAATCTCCTTATAGAAAGAGAATGATTATAACATTTTGAATGAACTCGCAAATGATCTGTATGATCATTACAGTAACGATGAAACTCTAAAATAAGTTTATGAGGCTCTGAAAAACAAGTATTGACATTGAAGAAGTTAGAGAACAGAAGAATGATTTTAGCAGCTACGTGAAGTATCCGATGGTGGATGAAAGGTCTATGGAGACCCAAAGTCACGAACTTCGAAAGATTTTTCATGAGATCTGTATGATTATTACAGTAACGATGAAACTCTAAAATAAGTTTATGAGGCTCTGAAAAATAAGTATTGACATTGAAGAAGTTGGAGAACAGAAGAATGATTTTACCAGCTACGTGAAGTATCCGATGGTGGATGAAAGGTCTATGGAGACCCAAAGTCACGAACTTCGAAAGATTTTTTATGAGATCATCACTAAAGGTATGTATTTATATGAATAATTTCAAATTACTTTATCATTGACAAATTGTCCCATAGTTAGAAAATTTTGCTTTGCTATGAAACAAAAGAATTTTTTAACTGAAACTCTGATTATTCGCCTTCGAATTAAAGAAGAGTCTCAGAGACAAGATAAAAAAAGTCTTGGTTGTTTAAACAACAAAAAGAAATTCAGTTCAGTTCTGAAGCCATATGACAAACTAGTAAAGAATTAGAACTGCAATATTGTGAACTGAATTAAGAATGAGAATCTTTATATGACCCTAATTGCTCCAACTAGATAACAACCACCGACTCAAAGAAATGGTGTTGGTTTTCCTTTGTTTTAATTGTGAAAAATTAAGTCATATGACTAAGATGTAGAAGTAGGCTTAAACCCGATGATGTCTCTAATGCACAAGTTAACTTGATTAATGGACAATTTATTGTTATGATTATGGAAATCAACACGGTTGATGAATATGATGGTTGGTGGATAGACAATGGTGTCTCTCGCTGTGTCTGTTATGATCGTGTTATGTTTAAAATATACACGAATACTAAAGATAAGAAAGTATTGTTGGGAGATGTTCACACCACTAATGTTGCTGAAATTGAAGACACGGAGTTGAAATCGAGTTTCCAAGTAAAAAATAAGATCCCACCATATGAGATATTAAAGAAAAGATAACCAAACTTGTCTTATTTAAGAACTTGGGTTCTATTTGGTTTAAGTCAAAATTTCGAATCCGAAGCGAGTTTAACTCGCTAGTAGAGCCTATGAATGTGTATTCATTGGGTATGCAGTAAATAATAAGGCATACAGATTTTAAGACCTAAACTGTAAAGTGATCATAGAATCAAATGATGTTGAATTCTATGAAAATAAATTTTCTTTCAAATCGAGAAATAATGGAGACACTAAATTGAATCACATTTCTATGATAAAAAACAATGAAAGCAACAACGAAGTAGAAACCGAACTTCGACGAAGTAAAAGGGTAAGAGTTGCTAAAGACTATGAGTCTGATTATGCGGCTCATAATGTAGATGAAGATCCAAAAAATCTTCAAGAAGCCTTGTCATATATGGATGTAGATTTATGGCAAGTAACTATTAATGATGAGATAAAATTTCTAGATTCTAACAAGACCTAACATTTAGTAGATTTGCCTCTTGATTGCAAACCAATCAGTTGTAAATGAGTTTTGGAAAAAAAAAAACTAAAATTTGATGGAAAATTGATAAGTACAAGGGTTTCCTTGTAGCCAAACATTTTAGGAAAGAAGAAAATATAGATTTCTTCGATACTTTTTCCCAGTCACTCAAATTACATCCATTAGGATATTAATTTCAATAGTCATTATTTATAACGTAATATTACATCAAATTGATGTTAAAACAACATTTTTAAACAATGACCTAGAAGAAGAAACCTATTGGACCAACCGAAAGGGTTTGAGATTCTCGAGGCAAGAAAACTAGGTATGTAAGTTACATAAGTCTTTGTATGGGATAAAACAAGCTCCAAAGTAATGACATGAAAAGTTTGATAACTTAATGATATCGAATGGGTATACAGTGAATGAAAGTGACAAATGTGTTTATTACAAATTTGAGAATCGCATTTGCACTTTCATATGTCTATAGGTAGACGATCTACCCATATTTGGATCAAATACTCGGGTTATTGATGATATGAAATCATTGTTGTACAATAACTTTGATATGAAATACCTCGGAGAAGCGAGTGTGATTCTTGGTATCAAGATCACGAGATCCGAGCAAGGAATTTCTTTGGATCAATCACACTGTGTGGAAAAGATCTTAAAGAAATATAATT